GCGCGCGGGTGTCTCCCTAGTGGGGCCGGGCCATGGGGGACGGAGCCGTCCGCAGCTGCCGGAGCCGGTATCCCTACCCGAGCTGGAGCGGCGCCCCCTGCTGAGCCCCGAGCGCTGGGTGAGAGGAGGAGGGCGCGCGCGGCCCCCAGCCCAGGGCCCCGACATTCCAGACCCAGCCCCACTAGGGAGACACCCGCGCGCCGCCCCAGATCCCAGCCCAGGACCCGGTGAGCGAGGCGCCGGCGCTGCCCCTGGCCTGGCTGCACCCCACCCTACCCCCATCCCGCTAGCCTCCTGGGCTCCTGCGTCCGCCCCCAGCCGGCCTCCCTCATTGTCCTCGCTCGCCCCGGCCTTGTGTCTGGCGGAGGCTCTCGGCCCCCGACCCCACATCCACATCTCCCACTGCATGCACCCCTCCCCAGGGCTCCACACCCACCTGTCCTCTGCTGCCTCCCCCGTCCCGGGGTTCCACGTGTTCAGCCTCCCAGCCCCGCCCAGACGCACCCCTTAGACTGGTGGCTAGCCCGACCCAGAGCCCCTGCCCTGGAGGGAGAGGTGGGAATACTTGCACGTGGGTCCGGGTGTATGGTGTATGGCTAAGCTTGTCTGGGAGCCGCGGTTTGTTGATGTATGTGGCTTGTAGGTTACTGTCACCCCAAGTGTGTCTGGCTCTATATGTGGGTCTCTGTGTGTCCCTTAGAGTGTGGGTGCTTACTGCTGGTACTAAAGCTGTCTGTGACTCTGTGTTTGAGATATCCTGCTCTCAGAAGCGGTGCCAGAAGTGTTTGAGTGTTTGTTGACCTTTCGAAAGTACAACGAAGTTCTGACCCAAGCAAGACAGACACCCCACCACCACCACCTCCACCCCTGTCCACCTCTGCCATCCTAGAAACTTTGCTCCTCCAGGGCCAAGCATAGTCCATTTCAGGAATCAGAACTAGCTTTGCTGCTCAGGCTCCAGAGCCAGCCTAAGATTGAGGTGAGGACTATCTGTGGCTAGCCCTGCACGGTACCTTCACGCTTGTTCCAGTGGGAAGGATCCTTTTAGACATCCTCTCCATCTGGGGTCCCCTGGATGCTGCAGGCCCTTCTCAGCCTGGTCTTGGTTGGTCAGGCCTGCTTGCTGTTGGCACCTGAATGCCTCAAAATGCCATGGGTCTGAATAATTTCCCCATCAGGACCCTTGGGAGGACTAAATGAAGCCATAGTGTGAAGTAGGAACATTCCTACGTGATAGGCACTCGGGAAGTGAACCATTCCCTAAGCCATGTGTCCTGGGTTGAGGAGTCTATCTCTGGACTCTGGGGTGCAGGTGGAGCCGCAGTGCTGAGATGCAGTCCCGGGTAATCAAGCTCACCTGTGTATGCCGCTGTGCGTACGCATGTGTAGGTGTACAGTGAGGATTGAAGTGTATGTCTGGGTGACTTAGTGTCGGGTGTGTCTTGGATGGCCGAAAACGAGTTGCCAGCGGCTGTCGGTGTGTTCGCAGGTAGAATACAAACAAGTCCATGAGTTTCAAGGTGTTTACGAAAGGTAAGTGAGGATAGGGGTCTGTAAATGAGCCACCAAGTAGGAAGCAGGTGGGTAGCATTACCTGTCCTGTCCTGCCCTGACCTGTGGGATCTGTTTCTCTCCCCCTGTTCAGGCTGGCAGCCAGATGCTTGGGCCCATTGGGCAGGCCGTTGGCCACCTGCGGGATGAGCAGACTGCTGGGGGGGACGCTGGAGCGGGTCTGCAAGGCAGTGCTCCTTCTCTGCCTGCTGCACTTCCTTGTGGCTGTCATCCTCTACTTTGACGTCTACGCCCAGCACCTGGCCTTTTTCAGCCGCTTCAGTACCCGAAGCCCAGCCCATGCCCTCTACCCTGCAGCCAGCAGCAGCACCAACTGCTCTCGGCCCAATGCCACTGCCGCTAGTTCTGGGCTTCCTGAAGTGCCCAGTGCCCGACCTGGCCCCACAGCTCCAGTCATTCCACCCTGTCCTGACGTGCCACCTGGTCTTGGTGAGCCTGTAGAGTAGGGCCTACCTGTTGTAGGGGTGGGAAGAGGACCCTACCAGTGTGCCTAGGGAGCTGGAGCACTGAACCATGGGGGCATCGAGGCTCCAGATCTATTGATGGAGGGCTATTCCAGGGGCTCTGTTGCCCACTCCCAGGTGGCTGGTGTCCCTGGATTCTGGCAAAGGCCCTGACTCTTGACACTGTCCTGCCTGCAGTGGGCCGAGTGGTCATCGAGTTCACCTCACCCATGCCTCTGGAGCGGGTGCAGAGGGAGAACCCAGGCGTGCTCCTGGGAGGCCGCTATACACCACCTGACTGCACCCCAGCCCAAACGGTGGCAGTCATCATCCCCTTTAGACACCGGGAGCACCACCTGCGCTATTGGCTCCACTATCTGCACCCCATGTTGAGGCGGCAGCGGCTCCGCTACGGTATTTATGTCATCAACCAGGTGCGTGCACTGTGGTCCTTGGCTGAGCACTAGCCTTCAGGAAACTCTCATGCGTCTGTGGGTGTGCCTGCTCGGGCATATGGGGGGCCATGTGCCTGTTGGTGCACATATGAGGCTGGAGAAGTCTGTGCCCTGGGCTGTTGATGGTTGTGTGAGTCTACATGGATATGGGGGTACATGTCTGTCAGTAAATGCAGGAGGTTTGTGTGTGTGGAAGGGAATGTGAGCATATAAATGCTGGCATGTACTCTTGTGGTGTGTACATAGCTTGTTTTGGCATCTCTTTGGGATGTCACTGTATGGTAGAGAGAAAAAGAGATGTCAAAACCAAGGTGGCAGAGGCCTCGTGTGCACCAACTAGGAGGCAATGTCAAGAGCCTTGAAGAGGAGAGTTGGAACCCTGAAAAACACATGAAGTCCGAAACCTTAAGTATAGCATGTAGGCTCTGGCTAGAAGTGGCACTGGGTCTCAGAGAGGACCTGATGAGGAGGAGGGTACATGGTTGGAACTGAAGTGAGGCCGGTGGGAACACACAGAAGCCTGGGTCAGCCATGCAGTTGTCAGAGATGAACAGGTAATAGCGAGAGAAGGTGAAGCTCCTAAGAAGAGGGGCCTGGAAGCCCAGGGCTTAGCAAGAGAACTCATCTCTTGTGTTTAGGAACTAGTGGATGAGGGGTGGAGTCTAACATACAGGCTGGGTAGCAAAGGTTAGCTAGAGGGCTAGTTGGGGGGGGGGGGCACATCAAGAACTTGAGAGCTAAGTTTAGCAGTGACCTCTAGCCTGAACTGGTGGGGCAGCGTTGTTTGAAGTGGGGGTAACCTGTGTATGTTGCTGTGATTACGTGTGAAGAATGGAGGGAGGAGAGGCCTAGAAGCCATGTGACCAATTAGGAAGCAATTACAGGCGCCAGAAAAGATGGTGGAAGTGCTTATGGGCGGGGCAGTCTATGGGGTGAAAGGGAGACATCACTGTAAAACAGTAGAGAGAAAGATGTCAAAACAAAGCGAGGGATTTAGTCTTTGCTGTGTTCGTAGCCACACCTGTGAGTGGGATGGGAGAACATCCCATGAGAACTAGGTCATATCTGGAGGTGAGGGACTGGGGATGCTGCCTTGCCTGGAGTGTTGAGAGCCTGTGGGGAGGTAGAGGAGGGACATTGTGCAGACAGTCAGAGTGTGTGTCTGTACCTAGGAGCGGGTCTCTGAAGGAGACTAGGATATGGAAACACTAGTAGGCAGACTTGGTTTTGTTTTGTTTTTCACTTCTGTATCCCTGGCTGTCCTCTAACTCAACTAACTCATTATGTAGACCAGGCTCTGCCTCCTGAATCCTGGAATTAAAGGCGTTAGCCACCACTGTCCAGCTCTTTGCTTTTGTTTTTCAACACAGGGTTTCTCTGTGTGATAGTCCTGGCTGTCCTGGAACTCACTTTGTAGACCAGGCTGGCCTCGAACTCTCTGAGATCTGCCTGCCTCTGCCTCCTGCGTGCTGGGATTAAAGGCATGTGCCTGATTCTTTTTTTTTTAATTGTGTAATATTTGTGTGTATCAAGCCATGGCACCTATGTGGAAGTCAGAGGACAACTTTGTGGATTAGTTTTCTCCTCTCCGCTCCCCCCTCTGACATTGATTTGGGGCTGGAGGTTTTGTAGATCAAATTCAGTTGTCAGGTGTGTGCAGCAAATGCCTTACTAACTGAACTACCACTAGTCCATAATGTAGAGATGGTTTAGTTTTAGTGTGAGTGTGTGCGTGTGTGTGTGTGTGTGTGTGTGTGTGTGTGTGTGTGTGCACATGTGCATGGCCATAGAACGCTTTTGGAGGTCAGAGAATAACTTTGTGAAGGTACTGGGGATCAAACCCAGGTCACCAGACTTATTCAGGAATTACTGTACCTGCTGAGCCATCTCACCAGCTAGAAGGTTCTTAAAACCCACCTCTGTCATAACTACAGAGCGTGGAATGTTAGGGGGTGGGGTGGGCAGGGCATCATCAAGGGTTAGATGGGGAAAAAAGGGCAGCTACGGAGGCCCAGAAGATGGACCAGAGAATGTCAGGAGACCCTGGAGAGTGGATGTCCTGGAAGCCCAGCAGTCAGTGTCAGGAAGGAAGCATGGCAGCTGTGTGAGTAGTGCGGGGGAGAGAGAGGGATGTGGACCAAGTGCGTCCGTCCAGTGGATTTAGCAACAAGGTGGGCCCAGTGAGAGCCATTTCAGGGGCATGGTGGGGGCGGAAGCAGATTGCAGTGGGCTGAAGGAGGAATCAGATTTGACAAAATAACTAATTGGAGACAGCGCTTAAAAAACATCTCTGCTGAGAAGAGAAGGCAAAGGGTAGGGTGATGGCAGGCGGAAGGTGTTTTCCTCCCTAGAGAGAGAACTGAGCGTGTTTATGAGCCGTGTGGGGAAGATCGAGGGCTCCTAGCTGGTGAGAGAGGCTGGAAGAACATTGATAAGCTGGGAGAAAAGCGTCCTACTAGGGCCGGTAGAGGAGATGTGGAAAGGACGGGAAGGCGGTGAGCAGGTGGCCTGGTCTTCAAGGAGCGGCTCCTGCCTAGCAGGTTTGTCCTGGCCGGGAGAAGCCACTGTTTCTCCTTTCCTACTGAGGCACCCACTCACAGATGCCAATTCCAGAGGCTTCTGTCGTAAGCATGGGTTGTAGCAGAGGCCGCGGGGCCAGTTCTTGTCAAATCCACCGCTCTCTGTCCAGGGTCGCCTGATCTTGTATAGCCAGAGACCCAGCAGTCCTATATCTTTGGGTCCCCCGCTCACAGAGGTGTGACTGCCTGTAGCATGTTGCTTGTCTTTTTCTGTTGGGAACACAAGATCATCCAGCGCGGTCCCATGTTGTCTCAGAGGCTGTCCAGGGAGTTGGAAGTGAATTGAAATGGGCCACGCTGGTCATTTAGGGGGTCACATTATGTCTCATGTGACGGTAAGCTCAGTAGGGAGGTAGACCGGAGCTTCTCATCTGTAGACTCTCCATGGCACATAGGAGGCTCATCTGGCACAATGGAGAAAGTCATGGGGCGTGTTTGAATGAATGGATGAGATAAACACTCCGCATAGTGGTTCAGTAGACACCGGTGTAAACGAAGCCTAGAGAGGAGGGGGCATTGTACTGGGGCCTGGAGGTCTAAGCAGAAGTCAGCCTTTGCAGGCATGAATTTGACCACTAAAGCAAAGCATTCTAAAAAGGGGGAAGTGCTAACCAACCCCAGTGCTTCATAACAGAAAAGTCCACCATGTTCTTCTGTGGTGCCTAAGGAATATAATATGGTTGGACCACAGAATCCAGCAATACCAAATTGGAGCCAAACTGTAAAGGTCTCTGAATGGGGGATCAACCTAAGAGTCTGAGGGAGTCGGGAGGGTGGGGGACAATTATGTGGGTCCCTGGGATCAAGCTGGAAACAGAGTGGCAGGTACCTGCTGGTCACAGACCCAAAGCTGATCTGTGTCCATCCACCCACCTCCCCACCAGCATGGTGAGGAGACCTTCAACCGGGCCAAGCTGCTCAACGTAGGCTTCCTAGAGGCCCTGAAGGAGGATGCTACCTATGACTGCTTCATCTTCAGTGATGTGGACCTGGTCCCTATGGATGACCGCAATCTGTACCGTTGTGGTGACCAGCCCCGCCACTTTGCCATTGCCATGGACAAGTTTGGCTTCCGGTGAGACTTACTTAGCAAGACTCTGACCTACCCACCCCCACTTGACCCAGGCCCGTAGTCCCAGCTTCATGTCCCCCTAGCCTCTGGCCCCGGTTCAGATCCTTCTATGTAATGTAGCTCTTCCCTGGGTCCTAGTTATGCGTTCTCCCCACTCACCATCTGTGATCCTGCATCTTGACTCGCTGGTGACCCTAACATCTGCTCTCCCGTGTCATAGGCTGCCCTATGCTAGCTACTTTGGAGGTGTGTCAGGCCTGAGTAAGGCCCAGTTTCTGAGGATCAACGGCTTTCCCAACGAGTACTGGGGCTGGGGCGGTGAGGATGACGACATCTTCAACCGGTGAGTAGAGATGGGACAGAGGAGACTGGGTCAGGGAGTGAGGAGTCACAGGCTGGGCGGGGCTCCTTACCTTCCCTGGTGCCTGTTCAGTCTGCCTGTCGCCCCTCCTAGGATCTCCCTGACTGGGATGAAGATCTCACGCCCAGATGTCCGGATAGGCCGCTACCGCATGATCAAGCACGACCGGGACAAACACAACGAGCCCAACCCTCAGAGGTGACCCCAGCATCCCTGACCCCGGGCCCCTGTCCCCTTGATCCCTAGAGGTAACATCCCAGTATCCCAAATGCCTCTGATCTCCAACCCCATAAAGGAAGCTCTGAGCATCCTTGGCCCATGAGAAGTGCCTGATAGAGGCAACTGATCCCTAGAGATGACCCTAATGCTCCTGACCCTTGACCTCTAAAGGTGACTCCTGGCCCTCCTGGGTTGGTTCCTGGAGGTGACTAGAAGGTAAATTCCAGCTTGGGTTGTCATTGCATAGACTGCATTTCCATTAGTTCTCTCAAATAGCTCACTTATGTACCTTGAATGACCCTGCTTGTACTGACCCTGTCAGAGCAGATAAGATGACAGATGGCGGGTGCTGGCCATAGACCCTTGGAACCCAACAAAGGTACATAAGCCGAGCAGAGGGAGAGTTGAGATAATGTCAACCACTCGCAGCAGCCGACTCCTGCTAGGGTTGAGATACCCACATTAGATGTTTGTGACTGACGAGGAAAGGTCTGACAGGCATGTGAAATATAGGCCAAGACTCCTTGAGCTTCCAGACAATCTCTGAGTGCTGCCAAGCCTTCTAGAGTCACATCTAGCCCCTGTCCTACTCTCCCTTATGAGGGTCACACTAGGCAAGGAAAATAGTTATGCCACAGGTCACGGAAGCCAGGGAAAGGCATGAGGTAGTGGGACTCTAAGTGGGGCTTGAAAAGGTCCTCATTCACTGAAATCTGCTTCACATTCTCTTGGGTGTATATTCACCCTCACTGTTTGCCTGGCTGATGGAGAAGGCCAGAGTGGGTGTAGGGACTTATCTTTGTAAGAGTTGAGTGTGAGTATGTGGGGCATATACCGAAACCTGAAAGCCATCTGGTTACACGGCTGAAGGCAGCAGCCACAGTAGGGGCATCAGTGCTGTGTAGCTGAGTACCCAGAGAGGTTTAACTTTTTTCCCAGAGTTCTCTGAGAGTCCTAGAAAGTTCCTGAACAGGGAGAGACACCATTGAATTTATTTGGGAGGCTTATTTTTTGAGCTCAAGGAAGGTGAAGGAATGGTCTAGCTGTTGGGTAGACCTAGGGAGAATTGATCAGGCCTGAATTCATGAAAGGAATTCATAAAACTAGAGAGGACAGGGCAGGGGAAGGACCATTGGGACTTCTGTATCCCCCGACTTTTTTGCTCTGAACTCAAGACTATAGGAATGGAGAGATGGATTATGGACTGACTTGGGGCTGGAATTTGGCAGAAGCACGAGACACTCCGCCCTCTGCCAAGGAGTCCAGGGAGCCAATAGAAAAGCATGCAGTTCAGATGAAACCATGGTCAGCAGAGAAGGGATGACAGGCAGATAAATGCCAGGAGCTTGGATCTCTCTGCAGAATTAGCTGGTCATCAATTAGTGATGCCTGCTTGGGTATGGCTATGGCCAGACAGCATGAAATTTCTGCACTATGGAAGTCTGAATGGTGGCTCTAATACCCTTTGCCTGAAACTCAAGAGTTCTCCAGGATTCCTTCCCCACCCAGCATGCTCAGATCATCAGTAGAGCGTGTCAGTGCCATCCCCAAAGCACTTGAGCCCGTCTGCTTTACTCCTTCTCCACGTTTACCGTAGTCTGGTCGCTGTGATCCTGCCCTGACGACTGCAAAGGTTTTCCTGCCTCTTTGCCTTCCCATAGTCCATCCCACCTTTCTCTCAAAACTGGGTTAAGAATCCCTTGGTGTCTTCTTGCCACAGGATATGAAGTGCTTATTATGACTTACAGAGTCCTGCCCATACATGCTCTAACCGACAAGCTAGTCTTCCTCTGTTTTCTCTTTGTGGTATGCTCTGGTCCCTGCGTAAAATGCTCTTCCCCCTCCCCTGCTTTCAGCTTTAGTGTCACGCTCTTCTCCCTTAGCTCTCTGGTGTTTCCTTTGCCAGTGTCTGCCTCCCTTAGTGAAGCAAACCTGCTGTGAGAGGAAGGCCCGTGCATGTCCCGTCCATAGCTGTGTCCCTGGTGCTCAGAGTGCAGTCTGGCCAAGAGGAGCAGGTGTGGAAGGAGCAATGGTGGAATGTGGAAGAGAGACAGAACAGATGGCAGGGGTTAGGAGAGAGAGTAAAGATGGCCTGTCGCACATGGGAAGTGTACTGCAGTGGAGGTGCATGGGGATGCCTCCGATATCACAGTCAGGCCAGCAAGATAGCTCAGTGCGGAAAGGTGCCTCCTGGGTAATCTGGAGTCCCCAGAACCATGTATGGGGGAAGGAAAGGCCCAAGTTCCCTCCACACACATGGCCCCATAATGATAAACATTATATATATATATATATATATATATATATATATATATATATATATATGGTCAAGGTCTGAATGGGAACCTGTGAGAATATTGTAGTTCCACTTGCCAACCAAAGGGAGTGAGGTCTTCATTTGGAGAGCAGATGTTAGAGCAGTGGCCTTCTGTCAAGTTGTCCCTCAAGGAAGAGAATGACCTGTGCCGTGGCTCCAGAGATTCAAGATTGCGCAGAGACTGTTAGCCTTGATCTGAACTCATCTCCCTTTCTAGGTTTAGTAAGATTCAGAACACAAAGATGAGCATGAAGTGGGATGGCATTGGATCAGTGCGGTACCGCGTCTTGGAAGTGTCTCGGCAACCACTCTTCACCAACATCACAGTGGACATTGGACGACCCATGTCATGGCTCAATCAAGGCTGACACTAATGGACAAAAGCCCTCCATGCCCTTCTGATGTGGAGGGTTGCCTGCCAGAGGACTGACCTACAGCCTGGCTGGCAGCAGCTCTGGGGGCGTCCCCAAGACTGAGACTGTGAGCTGTTTTCTGAGGGTCTTAATAGACAGCCAGCCGCACCTCGAAGTTTCAGAACCCACTTTGAGGGGCTTCTGGACAAGCCCCTCTTCTGGCCCTCTCTGGGGTCAATCCTTCCTGCCCTACTTGCCCCCCCAAACCTCCTCACTGTTAGGGTTGGGCCAGCCCCTGCACTGCCTCGCGGAGTGGCCTGGGCTAGGTCACTCCACCTCTCCGTGCCTCAGTTTCCCACTCCCTTGAGTCCCCTAGGGCCTAGAAAGGTGGGAGGTTTGACTAGGGGGCAGTGTCTCTTCCTGGGGGGATTCTCAGATCTGGAGATCCCTCATGCTTCCAGGGGAGGGGAAACCTTTTTCATTCAACATTGTAGGGGCAAGCTTTGGTAAGCCACCTACTGAGGAGTGCCCCCAGGAGGGGACCAGAAGGGGTGCTGTGTTTCCTGGGATCATGGGATTGGCCTTTGCATGGGGGACAGGTGGGGCTTGGATCAGTCAATGGTTCTGGCCTCCCTCCCTTAGTGAGGAGGCAGGAGCCCGGGGGCCTGCCCATGTTTATATGTTGCACAGAAACTTGTGTGGGTGCTTTAGTAAAAAACGTTAATGGAGAAGCTCCATGTCTGTTTGCAAATGGGATCTGGTTCCCGGAAGCCAGTTTGCGTTGTGGGACGTTGTCCAGGGCCATCTTGGGACTTAATAAATGTTCAAGCCCCTATACGGCCACTATTCTAGGGAGAAAGTTTATCTTGATGCTGCCTTCAGGCTTGTAGGAGTAAGAAAATAACGAACCCAGCGGGACCTAATTTCTCAGTTCTACTTCCGAGGTAGAAAGATGTCTAGGTGTAAGCTCAAGAGTTAGCTGACTAGCTTGTGGCTCTGCTACTGTGGGTAGGGCGGGGCCTCTCTCTCGAGCGACCCTGGGGCTCGGTGGTTTCCCAGGTGACCGCCTCCTGGGAGGAAAGGGGCTAAGGCCCGGCTGCCACAGCCTGGTTTTCCCCAGAGGTGGTCAGGATCCCGGACCCAGGAGGGTCGGCCCGAAGTAGGCCAAGCATTTCCAGTGTGGGGACATAGGCAGAACAAGGCGGGGCCTCGATGTCAGTGGGAAGGGCTCTGTGGGCGTGGCTCTGGCCCGGAGCAACCAGCGGTCTCCCAGGAAATCTAGCACTCTTGACCTGCGGTAGGTCCGTCTCATAGGTCTGACCAGGGGACCGCGACGTACTCAGGCCATGTCCCGGGACTCCCCAGCCCTGTGGGAGCTGGTGGAGGAGCATGTTCCACTCCCGGAGCGGCCTGAAGTGAAGAGGATTCTGGGGGAGGCAGCGGTGGACCTGAGCCTGGAGTTGCGAGAGGAGGTGGGAGTCGGTGGGTGGGTGTGGGTCATATTCCAGGCCTGCCCTACAGTTCACGTGATTTCCTGCCTCCACTTGGTTCCTAGCCCTATTTGGTGACCCCCTAACACCTTGTTTTCTCTAGCTGCCCTTTCCCTCCCGTTTAACTCCCCCATCCCTGACAATCCCCACCCCCTCAACACACATGCATCCCCTCTGTCCCAGTGGCAAGGTGCCCCAGCTCTCCTTGCAGGTGGCGATGCTAAAGGCACTGCTCCAAGAGTCTCGGTCTTCTCAAGCCTCGGGATCCCACCCCATGTCTGACTCTCCCTCCCTTCTGGCACCACCACCCCTCCTGAGGGATATCATGCGCCAAGAACTCCGACAGTTGCTCCAAGGCCTCCGCCTTAAGGCTGTCTGTGAGGGCAGGTGGGAGTCTCTGGCCCCGCTGCCTTGCCTGGACATCAGATGGGCTACCCTTGACAAAGAGCCAGTGTGGCCTTTTCCTGTGGTTTCCTGAAAGGAGGTCCCTTCATACACACGTTTTCAGGGACCAGACTCAGGTGTGGGCCCAGTATAGTCCCAGGGTCCTTCGCTTTGCCTTGGAGGAGCCCAGGTGTGACTCAACACAACAGGAACTATCCCGGATGAGAGCCAGCGAGCCCAGGTAAAGTGATGATAGAGAGGGAGGCTCTGCCCCTGCCAGGCAGAAGGTCCTGCCAATTGGTCCATCTGATCTGTGGAAGAGTTCTCATTCTGGGGCTGGACACTTTTTCCCCCCCAGACAGGGTTTCTCTGTAGCTTTGGAGCCTGTCCTGGAACTAGACCAGGCTGGCCTCCAACTCACAGAGATCCTCCCGCCTCTGCCTCTGGAGTGCTGGGATTACAGGCGTGCTCCCCCACTCCCGCACTTGGACATGTTTTTATAACCACTTAGCCACTTGTGACAGGGATCCGCACATGAGGGCTGAGGTGTTGAGGGAACACCTGCCCAGCACGGGCCCACTGCCCATGTCCAGTGAGCAGGCAAAGCTTGTTAGGAGAAATGACTGCTTCAATCTGGTTCTAGAGTATGAGGAGCAGTTGCCAAACAAATAAAGGAGAGAGTTTTTGTAGACAGAGGACAGGGGCCATGTCCGGTGAGCAGTTCTTCTCGTGCTTAGTGAACAAGAAGAAGGACTGGACTAGAGATACATAGAGGGCTGAAAGGAGGGGACAAATGACATTTTCAGCTGGGGACAGAATGCAATAAATGAATGGGCTCATGTTCATATAGTATGTAGGCTGCACTAGTTTCTTTTGTGGGGGTTGTTTGTTTCGAGACAGGATTTCTCTGTAGCATTGGAGCCTGTCCCTGGATCTAGCTCTTGTTAGACCAGGCTGGCCTCGAACTCGCAGATATCCACCCTTCTCTGCCTCCTGAGTGCTGGGACTAGAAGGCGTGCGCCATCATCACCTGGCTCCAATTTCTTGTTTAAAATCCCCCTACAATCCTGTAAGCAGGGCATCGTCCCCAGTTTGTAGATGAAAAAAAGAAAGCTCAGAAAGATAAACAATTTCCCCGAGGTCACGTGGTGAAGGTGGCAGAAGCCATGTGCGAGCCTAGGCTCTGGAACTATCGTTTGTACTCCATTGTGTTGCCTGGACAAGGAAAACAAAATTCTCTAGAAGTGGCATTTGTTCCCTGAAGGACTAGAATAAGCCACACGGAGGGGGTGATGCTAACTCCACCTGTCAGCAGCTGTCACAGGGACCTCAGTGTCATCAAGGACCAACTGAATGTGTCTAACATTGACCAGGTTGTCAGGCACCTGAGGTGAGGCCTGGGAGCACTGGAGTGCGTGGAGATTGGGGGCAAGAAGACGGGTGGACCTTAAGGGGCTGGGACTGCCTGGAAGGGGGTGTGCAGATAGGTAGACTCTGTGTGTGTGTGTGTGTGTGTGTGTGTGTGTGTGTGTGTGCGCCCGTGCCAGGGCCCTAAGCCCAAGAAGGCTGTGATGTGGGGTCTCATGGAAGCAGGATGAACCAGAGGCTCAGTGCCAGGGTACAGAAGAGGATGGTGCCCACGGGGGTGCAAATAGTGAGGTGACTGGAAATGGTGGGCGCTGGAAGGCTATGACCAGGCAGTATCCACAGAACAGTGTGGCTCCTGGTAGTTTTGGAGGTTGGGGCTGTGTGATGGGTTGAGCTGGGAGGTCCTGCCTCACTGGTTCTGGCTGTTCATGCTCCTGTCTAGGAGCCTCCTGGAGAAGGAGTGTCAGATGCTGCAGAAAGAGATCTCTGACCTGCAGGTGAGCACAGCCCTGAGCCTTCCCCAGATTCTGTCTAGCAGGGATCACACCTGTGTGTCTGTGGACCATATGTTTGTCAAGGTGTGTGAGTCCTACACCCATTTCTCGTGTTTCAGAGGCCATGGGCAACAGTTTTAGACTAACCCACTGGACAGCCCGGGGCCTCTTGCCTCCTCTCTCCCTCAAGGGACTGCATGTGCAGCTATCATCTTGCTAAGCGTGGCTATGCACTCATGAGGGTCAGACTGCAAGGCGGCATGGTCTTGCCTGAGCCCTACATTAGGGCTCTTAGTCTTACCTTTAGGCAGGGTCCCTCAACCAGCTTTCTCCACAGCACTGTCTGGAAACGGAGCAGATGCAGGCTTGCCAGCCCTACAAGGCCACCCTAGAGCCCACACTGGCAGGTAAGGACCCCAAGCAAGCCCCCAGAATACCCTGCCCCTACCTTTCCCCATGCTGTACGTTCTCTCGAAGAGCCAGGCCCTGTCTCAGCTGTTGCTCTTCCTCAGAGATAAAGGAACAGAAGAAGGCCATGGAACAGGAGCTACAGGTCTCTGTGGGGCCTTCCTGTGTCTCTGCCAAGCACAGGTACATGAAAACACAGGGCGGGCAGGGTCGTGTGAAGGGTCAGGTCATGGTCATCTCACAGCTGCCTATCCTGTGCAGGCAGAAGCCCTTGAGGTCCATTCCGGGCTTCAGACCCTTTCCTTGTCTCCATGGCTACATGCCTACACCTCCTTCGGAGCGCTGCCCCCACCCTCAAGGTCAGGCAGTCACCCACCGCTGGAGACAGCTTCGGTACAGCTATTGGGAAGAGCCAACCTCCACATCAGTGTCCAGTGCGGCACCCCAGGCTCCAACCTGAAGGGCTGGTCATAAAATAGGCTTCTGCTGTAACTCGCCCATCTGCTGTTCCCTCCAGCTGCCATAGCTCTACCAGCTTCTGCTTCATTCTTGGATGAGCTCACTCAGTCCCGGCTGAGCTGTGTGTTAGTCTGGTCCCAGCCCTGCCCCTTCCCAGGTCACTAGTATCTAGGACCGAGTGGCAGGACACCTGTTCTAACCATCAAAGCCTTTGGCCCTTCTCCACGCAGGCCTCCACAGAGGCTTGGCCAACAGAGGTCCCATCCCAGCCTGACTTTTGTCCCCAAGAGACCCAGACAAAGCACAACAGCAGCTCAGAGACAGGAATAGAAATTTCATTAAAATCTATGGACTTTAAAACCCTAGTGGTGCACAACGGGCAGTGGCGGGTGGCACACCGTTATTGCTACAGAGGATTAGAGGTGGCTTGGCCAGGGCTGTCACTGCAGAGATCACAGGATGGACAAATGGACACTGCAGGGATCGGGAGAAGGAGCTCTGACTGCAGAGGGGGACGGGCACGTGAACTGGGGCCATTTGGCACATTAAACGGGGGTAGCACGTCTGGGAAGACTGGGCCTTCAACCTGGTGGAGGGTGGACAAGGGAATGTCGTGCAGGGTCCCCTTCCCCAGGGCTCCAGGCTCAAACTTCCTGCTGAGAAGTCCCCTCTCTTTCCCTCCATAAGTGCTTTGGGCAGGCTGCTGGGTCACAGCCTCGGCTAGCTGGGCCTGACGACCACGGCTGGGACAAAGGGCAGAGGCCCTGGAGCAGCCAAGTGAGGTGTAGGCAGGCCTGGAAGACAGACTGGATCCAAGGCTGGGGCCGGGGGGCGGGGGTGGCAACCACAGATGATACCATTTTTACAAAAATAATTACACAAATAAACAGGGCTGGGTGATACAGTCTAAGTAACACTGTGAGCCTGTAGCCCCTTGCCTTGTTCCAAGCAAGAAGATACAGGTTTGCCTGGGCAGAGGCTGCGGTCAGGAACACTGGTCATGAGGCTGGAGGGCAACAAGTGGGGTGTGGAACCAGAACCTCTTATCCTCTGGTCAAACAGCTCAGGGCGGAGTAGGAAGGTATCAGAGGCTGTGTGAAGCCTGGCAGGCCGCTGGGGACCTGGCCTGAGACCTCTTCCAAAGTGCTTTGGACACCCCCACCCCCACAGCAATCCTCCCACGGCTTTCCCACCCCCGACTGCTGTCTTGGCATCCAAAGGACGTGTAAACACTGGGGACGTGAGCACAAACGTCTGCACTAGCAGTGGTGGCCAAGGTGACAGCAGCTGTCTCCTGTCACACCTGTCCACTGCCTCCCCAGTCTCTGTGGTGGGAGCAAGGGTTGGGTGGGGCCTCTCCCCTTGCAACAACTGTGCTCATATCCGGGAGTCCTGGAGGCGGCTGGAGCCATTACTGCCCACGATGGGGATCTGGGCCTTGTCCGGGTGCAGTGGCTGGACCTCAAACCCATCTTCAGGAGAAGGGGCTGTGGTGGGGGCATAGCGCCCAGTCCGATGCTCCAGGAGGGCAGGGCCCCAGTCTCTGCTTGGCTTTGTGGCATTTTTCAAACGCTGCAGGCAGGGGGCATAGCGAAAAGAGAGTCAGAAGAGAAGACCCCTTAGGCTCCGAAGTGTTTCCACCCGGCCTGGCTGCCCAACCCTCTGCACTCCTCACCTGAAGAAGTGTGTCCCCATCTGTGCGGCAGAGCTGGAAGAGCGCGTACAGTGGGATGCAGATGACGGACGACAAGGCCATGAGGAAACCAATGGCCACAGCCCAGCCCGGGTACTGGTAGTGGTTGTAGGTGATTGGCCGGTATTGGATCACCGTGAAGATAAGAATGAACTGCAGGGTGGAGAGGTGGGGACAGAAGTGGGGACGGTGTGAGGCTGGCCAGAGCCCCTCCCAACAGTAACCTTTCCCCTCCAGTTCTGGTCAGGGCATAGGCAACTTGTCAACACCTGAGCCAAAGAAGCAGGAGGAACCCACCGCGCGGGGCGTGGTTGGGGCATGTAGGTACCATAACAGAGGTGTTTTTGCCAGAGAACAAGTAAGCTGCTACCACCTTTGGAAAGCAGCCATTTTCTCTCTCGGCTCTGTACTGTCTATTGAGATAAGGACAAATTCCTGGCCTTAGGCTTCAACTCTGCCAGTCAACCTGTTATCTTGCTGGCCACCTCATGGCATCCCTGCCTCTGCACACCCAGCATCTCCTACCTCCTCCGGCCATTCTGCAGACCTGTCCTTAGCATCCCTGAGCCCAGGTCACCTCTTTCAGGTAGCCTTTCTGGATTTTCTGCCTCCTAAAAGGCTTCTCCATGGCATTTCCCTTCTGCATTCCTCAGAGCCGCCCTGCTTCCTGCACCTAGGACTGCGTTAACTCCAGATCTAAGGTGCCCTGCACTGACTCATTTATCTATTTGAGCTGATTTGTATCAGGAGATGCGGGGGATTAAGGAAGGGGTTGAGGAGTAGGCCAGGCCAGGTCCCGTCTCACGATGGCTGTGGTAACTGCCATTCAGCCTAGAGTGTCCAGAGGCTAAAACGCTGAGTGTGTCAGGTAGTAGACCGACCAGAAAGAATCTTTGGAAAGAGGTGAATGAGACAAGAAGTGAGGTCCGTGGCCGCTGCAAGCAAAGGATCTAAAAGAAACAGACTTGGCCAGGTGGCTCATAGGCCACACCCAAAAGGTCCTGCAGAAGGACTCAACAGGCCTCTTAGCTTTTAGGCATCCTGGAGCGCAAGTCCCTCTGTCCACATTGAACCTAGAGCATCCTTCCTGGGAGCATACAAGTTTCCTGACCCAGCAGAGCCTGGTGTGTGTGTGTTAGTTTATTTTGAGACAGGGTCTCACTTTGTCACCTTGGCTAGCTTAAAACTCTCTGTGTAGACCAGGCTGGCCTTAAATTCAGGTATCTGCCCGCCTTTGCTTCTTGCCTCCCCGGGGCTAGGGTTAAAGGTGAGCGCCACCACACCTGGCTTGGCCAGCCTGATGTAAGTGGGGATGAATTTCTTCATTGGACTCAGGGAAGGCTAGGGTTTGTCAAAAGCCTCATGGGCACAAAAGCCCCAAAGAGAACATGAATATGTCTGCACAGCCTGTTTTCCTGTCGCCAAGGTACCTCCAGGCCGGCTCTCCAGGCTCTACCGACTTCACCCCATCTCTAGTCCTAGAGGTCCCACAAGAGCCAGGCCAAGACCCTTGGAAGGTGACCCCAGGTAATAGGAGGGGTGGGGCCTGGGGCCAATGCCACACCCACCGAGGGAGGGTGTGGTGCTAGGCAGTGCCTTTAGCTGCTCTGGCCTCTCAGCCTTGAAAGGAGACTTCCGCTCCTCCTGTTTCAGTGCTGGGCCTATGGCCAAAACTGTAGCCTGTGCCAAGCTCAGGAACATCCTACACCCCATGTGGTGGAGGCCTCAGTCCTCCAGGGGCCTCTTTTCAGAAACATGAGCCAGTGTGGAAGTCTGATACCTAGCTGTCCATGATTCTGAGGAATTGCGGAGGCCACAGGTACCTCTGGGCAGTGCCTTGCCACCGAGTGAGCCCTCTGACTCTTATATAGTGACTACCATGCTGTCAACCCCTCCCCATCTCACCTCAAACAAACAGCAAAATGAGTCAAGTTTTAGCCCCCAGGCCATTCTTCCCATAGCATGGTTTAGTCTGCATCAGGGTTCTTGTCCTCATTAAGTAAGTGTGTGGCAGTGGGCCTATTTAATATCCCTGTGCCTCAGTTTCCATAGCCGTAGGGTAGAGATAGCAATGGTAACTAAAGAGATACTGCAGGAGTTAACGTAAACAGACTGAAGGAAGGGAGCACTCTGATGAATGTGCTTGGAAATGGGGATGCTCTCTCCAAAGCCACGCAAATTCCCAGCCTTGGAGGCCCAGAGCTGACCCAACTCCTAGCCCTGCACCAACAGGTCCTGGGATGCCCAGGGATGCCCAGGGATGCTGCCACATTCCCATGTATCTGCCATCTATCTCCCTGCTTGGGAGCGGTCTTCATGAGGGTCTAAGATAAGAGCAGTAAGGTAGACAGAAGCCACACCAATATCAGCGACTCCTGAGGCCCCTAGGGCAGCCATGCCAGGGAGTGAGGCTATGCTGCTGAAGCTGTCGCAGTTCTGAGCTTGAGTTTCGGCTTCAGTCAGTCAAAGGGCTCTATATCTCCTCCTAAGCGAAGGCAGGATCTGCCTGGCCCCTCTGAGTGTGAACACGTCTGACTGTCCGGCCCTCTCATGCCCAAAGCAGAGCTGTAGGTAGAGCTCTGGCTGCGTGGCTGTTTTCCTGCTCTCGCTCTGCTGGTTCCCAAGAGGACACTTGGCCAAGGGGCAGCAGGAGCAGGGAGGACCCCCGAGAACTTACAAAAATGATAGCCGGAGAGACGAAGCGCCAACAAATCTGGAAGAAGAGAGGTGGCGGAAACCCCAGCATCATCTGGATGTCCTGGAAGTAGTTTCGGTGCCCTGGAGAGATGGGGGCAGGGGTCAGCAGCCCAGCAGGATAGAGGGGTCAGTCAGAGGCTGGGACCCTAGAGGCCATGGACAGGTGGGCACTTACCATAGATGTACATGATAGACACACACATGATGCAGGAGATGATGACCAAGGAGAAGCTGGCCGCGTAATTGTCCATCAGCAGCAGCCAGTAGATTCCTGCCTGTGAGCCAGTGCACAGATGAGCCAGGGTGCCCAAGACCAAGCTACCCACCCATCCTGCAAGTGCCCTGGCAAGTGGAACCCCGCTTTACCCACCACAGCTCCATTCTTACCTGGCTGGTAAGGGGGATGCCCAGCAAGAAGCCAGCTACAGCCACACCCAAGGTCACATAGGTCTTTTTCTGCAGAATCCACTCATTCCCCACCTCATCCACAATGGCAGTGACTAGGGTCTCTAGGAGGCAGAACTACAGACACAGCCATCAGAACAGGGACCTGCCCTCTGCCCCGGTTCCTCCTGCCCAAAATTCCATGATACATGCACACTTACACACGCATGAACACACATACACATACATGTATGCATGCACGTGTGTCATACCTGAGTTCCCAGTCCCAGCAAGATAAGCATGAAGAAAAAGAGTAGGGACCACAGTGGGGAGATGGGAAGCAGCGTGAGGGCCTCAGGGTAAGCTACAAAAGCTAGCCCAGGGCCATGGTCTGCCACTCGGGACACATCCACACCCAGGTGATTGGCCATGAAGCCTAGGATAGAGAAGATGACGAAGCCAGCATAGACACTGGTAGCACAGTTGGTGATACTGATGATGACACTGTCCCTGAGGGAGAAAAACAGGACAGTTTAGGAGACCCAGCTTGCTTCCCTTTCCTCAGTTTGGGCCAAAATAAGACATGGATATAGGATATTGTAGAAACACAAGTGTCCCTAACTTCCTTTCCTATCAACTCAGGCTTTTTTTAAAGCGAGTCCAGGGTTCCTGACCCCTCGTCCACCCATCCCCCTCTCTGGCCAGTGCTTTGCTCTCTATTCTCATGACCCACTTGAGACACAAGGTTCTTCAAGGTCATGAGTACAGGAGGTCCCCAGTAGGCAGCAGACTGCGCGGGACCCTGTGGATCCAGGGTCAGGCTGTGGAGAGGACAGAAAACCGGCAGCTCCAGGCTGGCAGGGGAGCACTCACCGGTAGCAGTTGTTGTGGAACTTATTGTAGGAGGCCATGGTGATGAGACCGCCCCACGCGCAGCCTAGGGAATAGAAGATCTGCGAGGCGGCATCCCCCCACACCTGGGGAGAGGCCGGCAGAGAGCCACTGAGTCAGAGGCCGGATCACTTGTCCCTCCCTGGTCCCTCTGGGACAATCCTCCATGTCCCACCTTGGCCTCCAGAATCTTGTCCCACTGTGGGGTCAGGTAGTACATGATACCCATGAAGGCTCCTTCCAGGGTCACTCCACGAACGAACAGAATGGTCAGCACCACATAGGGGAACGTGGCCGTGAAGTACACCACCTGAGACAAGATACAGGTTCCATGGGTTCCTCTAGAACCCTTTCCAACTCTCCTGCTACCTCTCTGACCCCAGCCACTATTGACTCTGGTCCTTCTTCCTCTCCTATGGCTCTTTGTTACCCCTCCCTTAGACTCCCATCAGCCCAGGAAGGAGCGGCAGGGTGGGAACAAACCCTGCCTGGGGAGGGTACTTGCTTTCCCTGAAGACTTGACTCCTCGGATGAGGCAGAGGAAGACGACCACCCAGGAAACGCCGAGGCAGCCTAGGAGGGGAAGCCGAACCTCCCCAAAGTTTCCAATGTCATCAGACAGTTTCAGCACATACAGCCTGGGGAGAGGAAGGTGACTGTCACTGAAGGCCAGCCTCTGCTGCCCAGCAACTAAGACTTGTATTCTATACCTCATGCTACCAGGTCCCAGAGAAGCCTGGCTGTGGGAGAACAGGAGGTGCTTTGGGACCCCAGCCCTCTGCCCTGCAGTCCGTCCTGGGACCCTCAAGGGCTTTGAGAGACCAAGTCAAGTTTGAGCTAGTCTCCTCTCCTGTGGCAGGGGTTGATGCCCTCCCAGGACCTTCTTGAGCCCATCCCAGATCCTTTTGTGTGCATTCCACACTTCAGGAGTGTCCATTCATCCTATCAGAAGCACCTCTTCCTGGAAGCCTTCAGAGAGGTATACCATAATCGTCTGCTCCAGCTCTCAGGAGCAGAGCTGACAGAGTGATGAGTCACCCTAACTCCTCCCCTTGTGGGTGTAGCTCCACCTGCAGCCCTATGCCAGGCAAGCTGAGTTCTGTGGGTCAATTGGACAGGAGGCTTCTTCCTGACTCTCGGGGAAGAGGGTGAAGGAGAGCAAGTTGGGCTGCTATGGATGG